GTATCTCCCAAAATTGGTCTTTTCTACGTTCAAGCCAGAGGGTATTTTTAGAGGGGTTGTGACGCGGTGGACCTTAATAACTGTTGAGTTTTTCGAGCAAGGAATTCGCACCACTAGGTTTGGGTATAACAGTTCGATAAACGAAACGAGTAACAAGTCGTGGATTTGCGAATAATGATGTTCTTTTGATGCGGTCATGCCATAGTGTACAAAACATTCATCGATGGTGTTTAATGCGTGCTCCTTACGGCTACAGTTCAGTTTTAATTACCTAGTAACTAGTACCTAGTAACTTGAATGATTGAAAAATAACATGGTGTAAAGTGAAAATTTTTTAAATCAGAAAAACCATTCTGATACAGGATTTTCAAGACCTTGCCTGTTCATCACTTAAAATTTAGTTGCTTGAAAAGCGTTGTGATGAAATCGGTCGAATGGTCGAAAGCCCGAACTCACCTTCTGCTGATGCTATTGCGAAGCTGAACAACCATATCTCTTATGCTATTGATGTTATGTGGTCTCTTACCGAGTTCGCGAAAATTAGGCCAGTTGCACGATCCGTTTATTACTACTGTGGACTGTGTCAGATGTAAGGGCTTTTGTTTTGTTGTCCTTAGTTTGAATTTGTTTGTTTACAAATGTTTTATCTCTATGTCATTCTATAAGGGGAAATGAACCACTGTAATGATATATGCAGATAATTTTTTTTCGAACTCTGGTATAAATGTCTTTTGACGCATTGGATGTTTTGAATAGGAGGCAGTTAGAAGAATATGCATCAGTTTTTCCTCGTACCTACATTAAATATGCGATGCATGGAAGTAGAGCAGCCGAAGGCTCTTGATCCACTGAAGCCTTAGACTGAAGTTGGAACACTACCTAATTAGTATCCCAGAGACGACTTTTATATTGGACACGGTGTAATGCCAATGTACTACTTTGGTGATTAAAAAGTTCAGATACGGAGTAGAAAGGTTCAGTTTGTAGCCTTTATACGGTACTGAAACTGAAAATGCTTATAAAATTCTCGACTTTGCTATCGATTAGATTATATTTCTTTCTTTGACCATTAGAGATTAAGAGAGAACAGAGTTTAGTTTCATACCTGAAACAATGTGTCCATAGTTTCATTTTATTAAATTTAATCTCACTGGACAACTGATAGATGGATCGATGATAATGAGATTATGAACAGCTGTATGCCTAAAACGAATACATTTATGGAAACAGAACTTTCGGTGCCATAGAAACGTATTTATTTATCATCGTGAATTTAGAAAGAAATAACAGGAAATGCATAAATAATAAGTGCTAGCTGCATGAAAATGAAAAGGGATGGTGAGCAACTTTAGAACTGTAAAGAGGAAATTGATTTTGACAAAATGGGAAGAGCAAAAAAAAGGATTAGGAATTATTTCCAGAATTTCTTTAATAAATTCTAGTTGGATAAAACGTCGATAGTTGATTTCGTCGTCAACAATCGGAACAGTATTCTTTGATAAATGTTGATTCACCATTTTAGAAGGACGGTCACTGCTGTCCAAATCTTGGACTTTGTCTTATCAGTTATAGATAGCATGTAACATTTCTGCGGCGTGTTTCACCATTCTATTCTATTTTACCATTCTGAAAGTTCTGTTCTTTAATATTCTATTTTGAGACGTATTACTGTTTGTTAAATGATTATTTACTGTTATATGTCTGGTTTTGAGTTTTGGAAGTGAAAAGTTGATGCACTTTCAAGTGTTCATCGTCTAGGCTTCTTGTTTACCACTTCCAGTGCTGGAAAAACCTTGATGATTTCAGGGAAGACTGTGAATTCATCATTTTTGAGGAATGAAGCTAAAATCTGACCTGTTATTTTTAATTGTCTGATTCTAGTCATTTAAAATTAACAAGATAAGTTTTTTCATTTTCTATTATTTAATAAAATTATGTTTGTCTTTAATTGTTTTCAGCTTTTCTGTTTTTAGGTTACCATCTTTCTTCGAAAAAT